CAGTTTATTGCTCAAAAAATATTTCTGTATTACACTATGAGAGTTAATCAAAATACATTTTATCCACGATGGAATTATACTCCACTGGTACTCTGAAACTGAGAGCCTACGACTAGCATGCGTTCAAGGCCATTTGAGTGTTTGCACTCCTGGGACGCTGTTGGTGAACTTCGCCCTATTTTTATCACATGTGAGAGCAAGGTATCCTCTTTAACATGTTTCTACAGTTTTTATGTATTATTTTATAAATATATATATGTATTCCATATACAAAAATGCCTCCTTCACAAGATTGGTACGTTTGAGGTCATTCACTGATTGGTAGTTAGCAGTGCTTAAGGTTTAGCTTTGCCTGATTGTAATATGAACACACTAGAAATAAATGAATTTGTCATTAGCCTACACTGTAATTTCCATGCTTCAAATCTCTGTTTATCTCACCTTTATAAGATAAGTAACTCAACTTCTGAAATCCTCCTTTCCCTCCGAATAATCCAGAGTACATCTGCGATAATCTTTTGGTTTAGTATGTGTTCTCTTATTTTTAGTTTAAGATGAAGCCATTCCTCGACTTCTCGAGGTTTTTACATCACAAACTATTCATTCTAAGAAGAGGAATGACAATTTTCATCAAGATTGAAGTGAGCAAATGAAATTGAAACTGAAATTTAGTATATTCCACTGGTGGATGGTGACTAGTAGTGAGGGAATCCAGGATGTGTATTTCGCCCCATTAGAAGCCCATTGCTCGGATGTACCTACATTCCCTATCGAATGAGTGATGGTGCTCTCACCAAAGTTTGAACCCAGTGCCCAAATGACACGAAACACGCATGGTTGGATTCTACTGCTATTCACCATCCACCAACTGACATTAGGTTACATGACCAGACATCGCTGAAGCATCTGAACAAAGTGGTGCTGAAGTGTCAACCTGAGGCCAAGAATTTCGGTCCAGGAAATCAATGGGTAAATTTAAAATTGAATTAAATATATAATTTAGTATTCTTGTGAGAATTCAAGCGGTGTTTGGTTAGGATACTGATCGCCTTACAAGTACACTTTCAAATTCAATTTCGGAGCAACATTTATCACTTACAAGTGCATACGAATAAATTATTCAATACTAAAAGGACTACTCCTTAAGATATCTGACTAGTCTTCACTGAAAACTGTGGAAATAAACTAATTAACATCTAACTTACGCAATTTCATGGAAGTAAGCCTTGACTTATATACTTACAGATTTCATATTTCGTTAGGGAAATTCTCCACAATTTCCTTAGGATACTTAAATGAGAATTCAGATAAGCAGGTATGATCTATTTGATTTAACTATTATTTCCTTTAATTCCTAGGGGAACATAGGGCTTTAGCCACACGTCTGCCCAAATGCTTTCGTCTCCTCTTCCCATGACCTCTTCCATGTCAACCTCGCGCTGGCTACCAACTAACTCGCCATTTCCCATTCGCATTCCAATTGAGCAATGTCCTGTCTTGTAATGTCATTTGATGGTTTCCTCATAGTATGGCTAATCCAACTCCAATTCCTCCAACTTATTTGTTCGACAATCGATTACTGGTGGGTTGATTGGCTACCAGAGACCCCTGATCTGTTCTGTTCATCTGTGCGCGTCGGTGGCACAGTGGTTAGGACTCTCGACGACCATCAGCATGGTCCGAGGTTCGATCCCCTACCGACGCACACCTCATTGGTATCTATGGTCGGCCTGCAAAATTTCGGCTACCGATATCCATGCTGAAAATTCCATACTTGTACCGAAAATACAGTGTGGAATCAAGCTGTAAATCAAAAACAATAAATAAATAAATCTAATTTTAAGTACTGAGCGAAGATAGCTGTTGATGAAGGTCTGCGTTGTTTGTGGGTGTATAACATTGTATAACTGACACTTTCCTTCCTTTGGAGTTGAATCGGGCTGTCATTATCCAGGGCGAGATCGCCTCCAATTGCATCAGGGCCTTCGTTGCCGTTGGTGACATCATGACAGCCACACCCTCGGTGTGCATGTGGTTGTCTTTTGGGTGACTGGAGTAGATCAATGACTCACCTGTTGCCAATTTGGTGAGTCCACTCCTATTTCATTTGCTTTCGCATATTCCAAGTACCTGTATACGCAAGGAGAGGCGCAAGGAGACTCACCATGCTAAAGTTTCTGCAACAACTTTGTTCACAGGGTGGGGTTGCTAGCCTCACGCCTGAGAAGAGGGTTGTTACATTGATATATAGTTTACAGAAGAGCAACTTTTTGGATCGCTCCACTTCAAACCAACCTCCCTGCAAAAAGTACCTCTATTTGATATCGTAAATGGTAATTAAGAAAAAAAGCTTTGTAGGAAGAGAATGCATACTACTAATTGATTGATTTAAGTAGTTGAAAAGTACTCATATCAACCAATAGCGCTTGATAGCTCAATCGAGATAGTCCAATCATCACTTAACTGTTTTCGCTTGTTCGGGACCAAATCCATCATCTGTAAACTCCAAGAAGGAATCAGTACACACCGGGCGGCTTCGCCCACATATTACATCGTATTAACTCCACCTATTATCCTTCCGATCTGAATGTCATAGAAACGTGGGGTGGATAATACCATTAATTTCACTTTTTCTTAACTCATTCCATGAACTTAAGTGTTTCTGTTATGCCGATGACAAAAGATCAACAAGTCATTAACTACAGTGAATTTGGATCATGGGTTATTGTCGGGATTTGGATTCATCTGAATGTGAACTCTGTTTTGAACCAACTAACATTAGTTACAGAGATCACATTGAAAACCAAAGAGAAGTGCCTATCACATCGTAATCGTTTATGTAGGTTCTAGCCCACCACTCAATTCAATCACTTATTGGTGTGGTTATATGAATTTGTGCTCAGTGTCTTGGTTACAATTTTCTTTGTCAAGTATATCTCTTATTGTGATGTGAATAATCTTGGCTTTCCAAACTATTTAAATTGTCAATTAACTTGTGAAATGTCAACTAATTTGTAAATTATTCGTTTGATTTATTGATATATCATAAGGTCTAGAAATTTGTGGACAAAGTATGCCTTTTATAAACTTTAACGATCTTAAAATTTTTGATTTTAACAGGTATCATAGTGGTGATTTCCTTCACTAACTGATATAACCCAGGTAGCTATTAGTTACCATTTGATAGTGAACTTCTGCTTTCTGTTAGTTCATAACTCCTATAGACTAATTTCAGGTACGTTTTCTTGTTGGTTTCACTTCATGAGAAGGTACGCTAGAACCAGTGAGGAAAATAAAACATTCTAGGAGAAATAAATTACAGTGACAAAATGCTATACACTTATATATCTCAGAATTATCCAACCACGTGAGTTCACGCTCCAATTCACTGAGTCAACTGTCATTCAGCTAATGTCGGCATTGCCTTCGGCCGTTCATTTCTGTGTCAGTCTGGTGCTCCGTATCCACCAGGTATGCCGGTAGAGAAGTTCTGAATGACTATACGGCAATACGCCAGAAGTCGACAGTGAGCATGGCCAGTCATTCTACCTATGTAACTGTCTCCTCCACGGGAACAGTTAAATTTATCATCGCACACTGAAGTGGCCAGACTCGGTAGTTTATCCTTAAGTGGGACTAGAGTTTAACAACGAGTGGCGAATTTTAAACACAACGCTGCGGCAAATGTGTATATATACGTTTCTTCTGTTTGCTTTTATTATGGAAACTTCAACAGATGATTCGAGTATCCTTTCTCATATACTAATTAGTATGAATTTTACCCATTTTATCATCTACAGTGTATGTTGTGCAGATTTTACTAGCGCAAAACATCAGGGTATTGATGTGATTTCGTCTATAAGCAAGAGAAACAAACAACTTGAGAAAGGGGTATTGGGCGACTCATGAGTTCTTCAGGGAAATGCATCACTTAATGCTGCCATCTTGCCTCCTCGTCAGCAGGACATCAAGAAATAAAATGAACTCACTTTTTTGGGTGAACCCTGCTGAAAGTTTGTAGAAGAACCTTGGCACCTATTGTATTATTATGCAAGCTAAAAGTTTCATCCATACATCTACAGTAGAACGAGAGTTCGTTGATCCCATTTTTGAGTGTACAATTATCTGATTTTGTCATAAACACATCGGCTATGAGAGGACCTAGAGTGGAGTCCATTGCTACGCCCTTCACTTGACAGGAAATTTCGTCATTAATCTAAAATTGCACATTCATCGTAGACTAGATTAGCAGTTCCCGTACTGTTTGAGGTGGTATACCTACGTCCATATCATTTTCTATAAGAGATTCACAAATGAAGTCTATAGTCTTCAGTAAAAGGATATTAGCGAACAGAGAGGCGAAATCCATACAGATTACCGTTTCATCACTGATCTTCTTATTTCTTACTTCCGCTATAAATTCAAGAGTATTCTTCGAGCTTTACTTAGAGGCTTTTAGTTGAAGTATTTTAAGTACGTCTGACAGCCATCTTTCTATTTCATAATATGGTGGGTTGAACATGTCTAATATTGGTCCAATTAGCACTTTGTGTTTATGAATTTTAGGTAGCCCGTACATTATAGTTATACTTGTTCTGAAAAGCTAAAGACGTTTAAGAATTTGGGAGACACTATATATGACAGAACACCGGAGCCTTCAGTGTCTTCGAAAACTCCTTTTCTGCCTTATCTTTATCATCTTTGTTGTTCAGTGGTTTTTCGAATTTCATAGTCTCCTCTAGAATGATATTCACCTTATCAGTGTAATCACCTCTGTGTCTAATAATACTCTTCCAACTTCCTTATCCAGTCTTATTAGGCGGATCCTCTTTAAGGCTTCAACATATACGATCTTCGCTGAGGATACTTTTCTCCACAAGCCTTACTGATTGATACTGGTAACGATTTTCAAAAAGAGAGGCTTTTAATTCTTCAAGCTGAAACTGAGATGCTAAAGCTGAGTCATTTGTCTGACTGAAAAGGTTTTCAAACTAAAAATCATGTTTCCGAACTTATTCGATGGTGTGCGACAACAAAATACACCTATCATTCTCATGATTACAATGCGTTTGTGGCACTACAATGGCGTTGAACTACTTCACTTTCAGAGAATATCTTCATCTGGGATTGATGAAATACAAATATATCAAGAACATGTGAGTATTTAAAATTACCCTACCAGTATAAACTTTAATATGTGTCAGGATTTCATCATGAGCTGACATTAGTTAGAGAACCATTGGAAAACCTGGGAGTACTGGACAACTGTTTCGTCCTAGTTTTGAGACTCTTCAGCAGTACGCACTCACCGCCACGGTTCGAACCCAGGACCTTCCGGTTACAAGGCGAGCTCGTATACCATTAAGCCACTGGGATCCGATCCAATGGTCCTTGAATTCTAACTTCTGCCAATTCACGAGATAGTGCGACCGCTAGCCAATGTCTTCGGCGAGTATTTGTCCTCACACCCGACCAGCTGCACCCTACTGATCACGACTTCCCACTGGAACCCAGGTAACTACCTACCTGAATACCAACACTTGAATACCAATAAGATGCTCACTGGCGACTGGCCCTATTCAGGTAGGTAGTTACCTGGGTTCCAGTGGGAAGTCGTGATCAGTAGGGTGCAGCTGGTCGGGTGTGAGGACAAATACTCGCCGAAGACATTGGCTAGCGGTCGCACTATCTCGTGAATTGGCAGAAGTTAGAATTCAAGGACCATTGGATCGGATCCCAGTGGCTTAATGGTATACGAGCTCGCCTTGTAACCGGAAGGTCCTGGGTTCGAACCGTGGCGGTGAGTGCGTACTGCTGAAGAGTCCCAAAACTAGGACGAAACAGCTGTCCAGTACTCCCAGGTTTTCCAATGGTTCTCTAACTAATGTCAGCTCATGATGAAATCCTGAAATCAATCAAAATCCCTACAAACCAACACTTGAATTTAATATATGTGTAACACTTGGGAACTGTGGTAGTAAGTAATTCCATATTAGTTTGTCTATAAGATATACCACAGAGTAAAGAAACAGTATTATTATTTACTGGATGACACAGTTTCGAACAAAATCCAGTATTGCGCATAATCATTTCATCAATTATAATCACATGATTTCGAAACTTGAGTTTTATGGTCTTCTTTGTCCTCTCCTATTAATCGGAGGATTAGTACAATTTTCCAGATATCTGGTTGGACAGGTGTTGAATCATTCATATCACAGGTGTTTGCGGTAGATTTGATGTGAACAAAGCTTCCGTTATCAATCTCTCCCCCCCCATTCACCTTGTTACATTTGCTTTCAAAACAGTCGTCTTATCCCTTCATTCTGTTGTATTTTTTTATTTTTTTTGTTTTTTTTTATTTACAGCTTGAATCCACACTGTACTTTTGGTACAAGTGTGGAATTTTCAGCGTGGATATCGGTAGCCCAAATTTCGCAGGCCGACCATAGATATCAGGTGTGCGTCGGCGTGGGCTCGAACCCCGGACCATATGCATGGTCGGCGAGAGTTATAACCTCTGTGCGACCGAAGCACTGGGTAATTGTATGTAGTGTGTGAAATGGTGGAACTATTTTTTCTAGATTTCTTATCTTATTTGGGTCAACCAATCTAGATTTTGCTGAGTTTTTATGTTCCGCTAGTCTGACTGCCTCTGTTCTACTAGTTTGACCTATGTATTTGACCTGACAATCATTGCAAGCAGGGTATCACATAAACCGTAACCTCGTAAAGTGTCTGGTTCATATAGCTAGGTTCATCTGTTCAGACGACTGCCTCAATGAGGAGCTTAAGATTATTAGAGAATTACTTAGAAAAAATGGTTATCCAGATAAATTCATTGAGAAAAATATGAATTCAGCACTAAGGAGAGTCAGTGTGGCCACAGTTCGGAAAAAACCAATGTTCATAAAATTGCATTTCCTCGGTGACAACACCAGCGAAATAATAACACAGCGCCTGAAGAATGCAGTTGAAAGAGCTTATTATGCAGCAGAGGTACGTTGTCTCTCCATAACCACCCCTATTCTGCGTTTCGAGAAATAAAGATAAACTACCTAAATTCGGCTCCTCTGTGTGTATATACCAGTTGGACTGCAGCTGTGGAGCCAGCTACACTGGGCATACAAGTAGGAAGGTTCATCATCGTATTTCCGAACACCATTCTTCAGCATGGTTAAGCAAGAGACAAACAAGATCTATTCGTAGCTCTATTTTAGCCTGCCTTGTAGACAGTGAGCATAAGGTTGATGTGAATACTGCATTTAAAATTATTTGTCGCATTCCGACTAATCTTAACTTTGCTCTGCAAGTTCGTCTTCTACAGACAGCTGAAGCAATCGGAATTCACCTGAAGAAGCCAAGCCTATGTGCAGAGAATAAATTTGTGCAGCCACTTTCCCTATCGTAGCCATCGTCACAAGAATGCATAAACAGGACTACGTCACCCCTCTCCCCTTAAACCTATAAAAATTATAATTGTCTAAATTATTTATTCTATTTTTATTTATTTTGACCACTTCATCTTTAATTTACGTGTTGTCCTTGTAAAATTAATTTATTCTAACCATTTCTACCTTTAAAATGTGTATTGATTTTCTTCGTTAATTATTAACCCATTGACATTTTGACACTGTTTTATTATTGTTTAAAAACTTATTGCCACTTGATTGGCAAACTGTTGTATTGTAATTAAAATGCTATATATATTATAGTAGAGCCAGAGATGAGGATCTAATTGAAAAGTAAATATTTCTTCGCTCAATCTTTCTGTTTTGTATATGTCGTCGGTGGCACAATGGTTAGGACTCTCGCCGACCATGCACATGGTCCGGGGTTCGAGCCCTCGCCGACGCACACCAGATATCTATGGTCGGCCTGCAAAATTCAGGCTACCGATATCCACGCTGAAAATTCCATACTTGTACCAAAAATACAGTGTAGAATCAACCTGTTACCAAAAATTTTAAAAAATGTCTAAATGTGGATTTTGTCTACAGTGAAACCGAATTGTTTTGTTTCAATGGCTTCACAGAATCCTTCAACCGACAAAGAATGTTTCTAATTAAGTTTGTGGACAGTTTGAATTCGACTTTTATTCCTGCCAGCATTGTTAAGAATTCTGTGTCAGGTTTCCGAGATTCCTTCTCTGTATAGAAGTACTAATGATGGTTTAGATTCTTTGTTGTTGATGTTGTCATTATCCTGGGCATGTTTGACATGCATGTTGTCATTATTATTATCATCATCATCACTATCACAACTATTGTGTACGTCGGTGGCACAGTGGTTAAGACTCTCGCCGACCATGCACATGGTCCGAGGTTCGATCCCCTACCGACGCACACCTCATTGGTATCTATGGTCGGCCTGCAAAATTTCGGCTACCGATATCCATGCTGAAAATTCCATACTTATGCCGAAAATACAGTGTGGAATCAAGCTGTGATCAAAAATCAAAATTACTATTAATAATTTTATTTTCACATTTCTCTACATACTTTCAGTATAAACTTTTCTCGTTACATTACTTTAAACTTTTTATGCACAAATGTAAACATGTCTCCAGACTGTGTAAAATTGTCACATACTGTCGTACTCTCTCTCTCTCTCTCTTGTTTCTTGTCTAACTTAAAACCATTACATAAATATTTGAATACATCTGAGAAACATTTCTCATTGGAAAATGTATAAATTTTCACCTCATGTCCACTAGTCATGCATAAGTTTTGATGCAATTCTCCCCGTTGGATTGACCAATCAGATTCAATGATTCATTGTATATATAGTCAACAAGTTTAAGCGTATTTATTTATTACATCTACAACGTATTACATAAACTCTTGATACTTCTGCTTACTACTACACGTATACCAAACAATTCAAACGGGCATTTTCAATTTTCACCTGTAAGTTATTTAAAAATGGCTAACATCGTTATCATATTGTTAAAATTTTTGTGACCTTTTTAACCGTGTTTTTATTAGATATAAGATAAATGGGTAAATAAAGTTGCACATGGATGAGGTGAAACTGGTCAGTTTATCTTTTACTCCCGAACGTAAAAGAGGATTGGTTTTGAAGACACAGCGTACTTTGGCAGCAGGGAATGCTCCTTTTACCATGTTTCTAAGGCGCTGTGTTAGTATTTCGCTGGTGTTGTCCTCAAGGAACAGCATTTGTAAAAATAAGGCCTTTTTAGAAACTGTTAAGTAATGGACAAACAAAATCTATTCACATAGCGCTATTCTATCTCATCTTATGGATACATAACGCATGACTGATGTAAACCAGACTTTCAAAGTCATTCAGCGAATATACCAACAAATCTCAGTTTCTCCTTAAGAGTTCGATTACTAAATATTTCAGAGGCTTTGGGGATCCATATTATAAAGCTAGTTCAGACATTATCCTTACCTTGGCCATCTGGGTTTGTATGATCCTGAATTTTTGTGGAATATTCCTAATTTTAGCTGATATTCTATTTACCCATTATATTTTTATTATTGTTCTTATAATTTAAGCATCTTTAATGAACTGTAATTCCACTGCGATCTTACTTTACAAATCGATATTATTTAAAAAGCACACTAATATTGTTATTGACTACTATTCTAGAATACTCTATGTACGTAAACATGCATATATAATTGTAAAGCCAGAAGAGGAGAAATTATCGGAAAGGATATTCTTCTTTGCTCAATTATTGTGTGTTTTGTAAATATAGTTGCTTGAGTTTTAACCTAAAGCTCTCCACTTTTCTTCTAACATGCTTACTTTTGTAAAATATAAGCATGCTGATTCGTATATTGTAGAATGCTAACTCCACAGGTTCACTGAAACACTCATTACCGACGTTGTTCCGGTTTGTTCATTAATTTACTGTTGACATTTGAAACGAACAATTCATTCTAATCATAATCATATCAGTTATAAGTAGACGACGTTGAAACTTCAGTCTTATAGTTCTCAGCATTTCTTTCCCATTGGCCGTGGGGGAAGTAGAAGTTTTTAGATGACTGGGACAAGTGCTTATCCATTCGAGTTCCGCGTATTCGCTTAGCTTATTCGACAAATAAGGCCTCAGGTTTACGAATATCATCATGTCCCTTCCCACGGTGTGGTTGCGTGTAATTGCATATAGAGCTAATATAGTTGAATTATTCTCCAGATTTCTTATCTTATTCGGGTCAACTAATCTAGATTTTGTTGCTAGGTTTTATGTTCTGCTAGTCTGACTGACCTATTTATTTGACCTGACGATGATTTCAGGCAGAGTATTAGGTAAACTAAATTGTTTTCTTTTATATGCTCCACAGGATTTATCTTTTAACCGATAAAGATTGTTTCTAATTGAGTTTGTGGATAGTTTGAATGCCCCTTTTATTCCTGCTATGTTTAGAATTCTGCACCGTAAGGTTTCCGAGGTTCCTTCTTTGTATGAAAGTACTACTGTTGGTTTTGTCATTATCCTGGGCATGTTTAACTTGCATATCATTATTAATACTATTATTATAATTATTACTACTATTTTCCCTATCACTACTATCATTTTTAATTTTATTTTTACATTTTTTTGCATGCTTCATGATTAATTCATCAGGGTAATTATTAAGCCTCACAGCTTCTCTTGTATACATTACCTCCTGCTTTGAATTTCCCCGGGGTACTACTTGGTTTCTTTTGCCCAGTTACTCAAAACACTTTACCTATTCTATTTTAACTGATATAAAATAGAATGAACCGTTATCCGAATATCATTTTGAATATGTGGGTTGTCTGTAAACACACTAGTGTTTCTGACTTTCTATATATTAATTCTTTTTTAATGCTACAATGCAATACTGGAAGCTCCCATGCATAACTTTCCAACTCATAAGTTAATCCAATTATCTGTAAGTATGAGATTTGTACTTTCATTACTGTGAATGTGTAATCCACATATATCCACCATACTCTTCCCTTACGTCTGGACAAATTTTATGCTACATGAAAGTCAATGAGAATTGTTAACAAACAAATATTTTGCAAATACATCGATGCTCTTATGAGTATTTGTCAGGATATAAATGATTAAAGATTAACGACATGTTGCTACGCCCTCTACTCATATATATATATATATATATATATATATATACTCAAATAAATAGATCACCTAAGCGCCAGTTTACTCAGAATTCAATGTCTTTCGAATAAATTAGCCATTTGCCGTTTACTTTAACTAACAATTGCGGGTATTTTTAAAGTTATTGCTTACTTCTCTCTTAAATAAACTTTTGCAATGGACCATTGTAGTTGAGCATATGAGTATTAATAAGGATAAAATCTTATTTCAAACAATATGTGAATATATGGTACAAACATTTTCAGCGTCTATAGCTCCAAAACACACTTTTTCTTTATACAGAATTCACATGTAAAGTAATAATCTATGGTATACCTTCATTTCGTCGAAGAGCTGCACAGTGTTTATTTGGAAGCAAGTTAAATCAACGCTCAAGTTCATGTAAAAGCTCATTTGAAATAAATGAACGATTAAAACAATTATAAATCCATAGGAAATTAAGCATTTTGAGTGGAAGGCAACTCCAGTAGCGCAGTGATTCAACCAGGTCGCCTATAGTGATCGAAAACGTGTGTAGGAATAAAACTCGATCACCCCTGGTAGTTAGTTTTATCGAAGGTTATCCTCTTACTAAAAACATCATTCAAAGAGTCAGAATCATCCATCGTACGACCATTCTTGATTAAAATTTATCCTTCACAAGTAATGAAATAAAATCGTATTAACTGAGCTATGTATTTATATTCGATTTTCACAAATTCCTTGAGTCCTACTCCAATATTTGACGTTGTAACTCAATTAATAAAGCACTAAATAAACTATGGATACATGACGATGTCTGTGTATATCCCAAGGCACTTGACACCTAAAACTGTCAAATATGTTTACAGTAAACCATAACATTTAAAACTTTTTTAAAATATTCATTTCTCGATGTAAATTTCGAAAGAAAGCAATCAATAAATTCGTCAGATTTCAGTGGAACTCCTCAACTGAATACTCTAAGGATACTGTTATATCTTCTGAGAGACAAACGTGTTGGAATACATATATATATATATATATGGCTAGTTGAAAAAGCCGTAATACAATAATTTGTCTTACGAATCAGGTTCTTACAGGCAAACTATGGGTTATTGTGGATTTTTAACATTATTATTACGAATATTAGATTGTTCCTTTGCATCCCTAGTGGAGCATCAGGCTACAGGCTTCACCTTTGAATTCTCAGTAGACTTTGTCTTTATTTTTTATCGGATGAGGTTGGTAGTCTCACACTCAACTTCCCTCGTTTTCTGGAAGAACTTTTTCCTAGCTAAGTGGAGTTTATAGGTCAGTCTGGCTGGAATAAAACTGCACATCACTTTCGCCTGTTCTAACATTAAACCCTGGACGCATTGTATTACTGTGGAAATTGTTCAATATCTCTTTTAATAAATAAGGCTGAATCTGTAAGGCAGTCATCATGATGAGGGATACATAATATTAACATTACTGTTCCTAATAAACCTTCAAAGGTAAATGCCTGAAGAATCAATCGATGTTCAACAGTTGTGATAGGAACAAGATGAATTTCTACGATGATTTATGTAGGAATATTAAGGCTGTACACTGAAAATATACAATGCACAAGTTTTATCAAGCTTCTTATCGCAAGTTATTGAATCCTTGTACAGAATCTTGAAGTAGCATAATCAGCTAAAATAATATCACGGAAAGGGAGAGTGTTTATTCAGTCATCCACAGTGTATTATCTCCCACTCCTTTGGTTATGAAAATTCGTAGTGAAAGTTTGAAGGCTATTTGAAGAAATGAGAGAGTTTAAATTGTGACTTTTAGGCATAATTTTACAGAACTACATCTATGTGAAATGGAGTTAACCTCATGAATTTTGGGTGGACAGAAAATTCAGGCAGCTGGCACAGTTAATTAACCAGGCTATAAGTAGTAAGTGGTGGTATTCTATGAAAGTGATTCTAAGTATCCCTCAATTGCTTTTATGTCATCAGAACTTAAGGCTTTTGTTGAGAGGTTAATTAACCACTTTGTTTTATCGATGGTTGCGTAGTTTTGGCTATTTTGAATGCAGCTGAGCTTGACTTTTTAGCTGTTTCGAGTAACATTTCATAACTCTGGTTATATACGATACTTTTCAGTTTTTAATGGATTTCACTTGTTTAATCTCAAGTCTGATGTCAATTAGCTTACTGATATGTTGCTGTGGATCTTTTCTCTTAAACAGAGTCCATTGAGGTGCCATTTTGATGCATCCACCTACTTTGTTTTAACCGGAGAGTCTATACAAACATACTTAGGAATAATTCTGTTTTTCAGTCATCAGATGTTAGAAATACGCTGATTTGAAAAACCTGATTATCTTTCTGATAATCATGTGAGCTTACTGACCAGTCTTCAAACAGGAAGACCACAAGTATCATTACACTACATTGTCACTCAATCATTTCCAGGAGTGATTTTTTATGGCATCTTAATTTCCACTCGTATGCAATTCCATATAGCAATAAAGCTGAACTATTCTTCATATTTCTTATCTTGTTGCAAAGCTTTTGTGCTCCGCTAATGTGATAGACTCTGTTCTACTAATTTAACGCATAGATCTCATCTTACATTTGTCCCATGGTATTAGGTAAACTAAATTATCATGTCTAATCTTGTAACTGACAAAGTTTCCTTTTTAAATGGGTTTGTGTACTTCATTGCTGCAGTGAAAAGAATTCCATGTAAATTTTGCGAGTTTTGTTCGTTTTATGGAACTAGTACCGATGATTTGAATTCTCCGCTGTTTTTTTTGGCGTCATTCTTCTTTTCATATTTGGCGCGTATGTCACCATTAGTATCATTATTTTCATCATTATCATCACTTTTTGTAACTTTTAATTTCACATCTTCCTACAAACTTTCTGGTTAAATTACCAGGGGAATTATTCAGATTTATAGCTTCTCTTATGTGCTCTATAACTTTCTCCTGAGTATCTCGAAATTATTTTCGAGGAGATACTTCAGTTTCAGAGTAGACTTGTCATTTTGGAAAAGATTCTAAATCTCTCAGTCATTGGTTAGAAATTATGGTCTCTACATGAATAACACCGAAGCACAGGCAGTAGAACCTTCTCAAATCATCTAATGTTTATCCACTCTTACCTTGTTTAATTCACTTTCAGAAGAAACTGAGGATCAGTCCAATACTTTCTATTGTCTAGTGTCATCATTGGATAGGAGATGTTAAAAGGAGGTGAACTTTCACTGAGCATGTTCTATGTTCCACTGGTTATGACTCGACCAATGCCCAATTTCTTGTCATTTATATTACGTCATCCAACATATTTGCTCAATTTTAGTTCTAATCTGAATGGCATTATTCTCTACCCCACCTCTACTTAGTCTCTACCTGTAATTACCTCTGTTGCTATCCTGACCTAAGTTGAAACATTTTAGTCAATTATATTACGTCATCTAACTGACTAAATAAATCTTACTTTAGTTGCTGTCTACTCAGCCTTATTTTTATATTAAATCATTCTTGTATTACCTAATTAATTATCTAAATTTGACAAACCTCATGTACAGACACACAAATAATTATATATATAAATGCGATTGTAAAGCTAGCTATGTGAATGAATTCGCCGTAAAGAGTCTCTTAGTTGAACGTTTTCTCTTTTTCATATCACTCAATGGCGGTTTTCAAGTTAGTCTAGAAATTGTTGATGGCTTTATCAACATCACTGGAATTGTTAACGCAATGAGTGCCTCATTCTAAGTCCTACCAGAAATGGTCTAGTGGTGATATGCTTAACTAGAGTAAATCATTGTGAGTTGGTAGAGTGAACTCATGGAAGACAGATGGTCGACAATTATGTCATATCATGTGATATAACGGATAATTGTTTTCATTATTCGATACCTGGAATAGTTTTTACCTAGACTAAATGTAAATGCTTTATAGCTATAAGTGAATAGTACCGAGAGGAAGAGTGATAAAAATCACGGCGACGAGGTTAGATGAGGCATCGTTCATTGTTCACCTCATCTTGTTTAGTGTCTTTTATTTAATACCACACCAATCACTTGACAGTTTCTTCTTCACATTTTATAAATATTTCACAGTTTCCATGTTCCATAGAGAGCGCTGGCTGGAAGTTCATTCATATATTTGTGACAGTATGAAAACCTACACAAGTTCGCATTGCACCGAATAATGGGTCATTTCTTATCGCACCTGCAAAGATTTTCGGTATCGTTCAGCAAAACAGGAACTATATAACGAAATTCAACTGAAAGCATAAGAATTTTACCTAATCTTTTATTCACGAATAAGACAATGCTGCCTATTATCGCCAATGATTTTCCTGATTACAGTAGATTGGATAATGCGACAGAGAGCATAAATTGGACCCACACAAAAAATTTGGAGGATCTGCACTTCGCTAATATGATATGTGTGTCTGATTTCCCACACACTGGAAGATATGAAAGTGAAAAGCAACCAGTTGACAGAAAAAGCATCAAAGATACGACTTCAGGTGAACATAGGTAAAACAGAGATGGTGGAGATTCCTGGCCAGTAGCAACAGCAACAACAACAACGATAACAATCAGCCAGCATGAATGAGAGGGACCTGAAAGAAACAACCTCATTTACCTACCTGGAAAGCATCGTTTCAACTACAGGCGGATGGAACTGACGAGGATATCAAAGCAAGAATCGTAAAAGCAAGACATGCTTTCATTACTCTCAAGTCTGTGTGAAGATCAACAACACTCACCATCAAAAATAAGATCCAGATTTTCAACTCCAATGTGGAGTCAGTGCCAGTCACCACACGGGTTAGAGACTTGGCGCGTCATTAAGAGCACCTCAAACAAACTTCAGACCTTCATTAACAGTTGTCTTCGCTCAATACTCAAGATCAGATGGTCGGCCAGAAAAGATCAGCAACAAGGAGAGATCTCTGGCAATGAGCGAACCAACCAGGAACCGATTGTGAAACAAATAGACAGGAAGAAGTGGAGATGGATTGGCTAGCCATACTCTGAGGAAGCCATCACGTGACATTACTAAACAAACCCTAGAGTAGGACCCGAAAGTGAAGCAGCGAGTTGATCGTCTGAGTGAGGGTGACTTGGGGGAGGTCATGAGAAGAGGAGATGAAAGCATGTGGGTAGGCGTGGAACTAGGTGGAAACTCTAGCAGAGAACCGAACGCAGTGGAGACGTTTGGCTGAAGCCGTATGTTCCTCTGGGAATTAAAGGAAATAATAATATAATAATAATTTTATTCACGAGTCATTCCTCTTTTACCGTTTCATTGGAGTTTTTTCAGCATACGTCTAGATAGATGTTATCTATAAGAATATGAAGGAGAATTGTCATGGATATCATAAGATGTCGCTTCACATGGAATAACAGTGTCATTTTGAACATGCAATTATGAATCATTCTCTTGTCTTTATCTCGTATAGCGAGTCGATTTATTCACTCACAACTTGGGATCTATAATAATAAGTGTGTTGTTAGTAAGAAGTTATGTAACTGACTAATGATTTATTTTTTTATGTTTTCCTTCGTATTTCATTGTGTGTGTGAGATAAGCTTCATCAAGAGGTTAACGAATCATTGAAATTTGTGACAAAATGAGTGGTTGTTTCGCTTAGGATTCACCTGACTTGTGATTGATTAATTCAACAATGTCAGTTTCCAAAACAGATATACCGTATCTACCTGAGAAATACTTCGTTGTGCATTGGTATGAAATGAGACTGTTACATTTCATCTTTGCATATTCTGAGATTAATATCATTCCATAATTGTGCATCATTCCCGACTTATGTATTTTTTTTTAACATTTCTTTAAGTTCGCGGTGGTACTTAGGGCTTCAAGCTGGGGGCTTGATGTTTCAGTAGCAGTGATGTTTAATTTTATTGGATGGGGTTGCTAGCCTCAAGTGGCTCAATCTGCCCTCCATACTAGTCTTACTATTGGCTTAGCGAGGGCGCTAAAAGAGCGCGTCTGCGGTCGGGGATAGAATCGCGAACCACATGCGTGGTCGGTGGTGAGCATTTCACCACTGTGTCACCGACGCACTAACTTATGAATAATCATTTTCAAATTTATTTTGAGGTCAGATTTTCACTGATCAGTAGAACTATACTGTCCATTTGAGACTCAAGTAAATGCATGTTGGTACGTGCTGTCGCTTCATGAGTTGACGTAAGTATTTGGATACTGCTCACATCAACCAGCGGCCAGATCGAAGTGACCTAATCAACCAATGGCCGTTTTGCTTGTTCTGCGCCGTACTCATCAGGAGTGTGTCAGGTTCAATTCAGCTTAGAGAAATAAATCACTTCGAATCAACTGAATTCCGTATAACTACAATGTGAACTATTAACCCATAAACCACTAATTGTACTATGTGTTTTAACATCTTTAAATCTGATACAATTTTAGATTTTCCCGTCGACTGATTGGGCCGAAGTGCTCGGTTTCAGATTGAAATGTCGGTGGCTTCTTGTGCAGATGCTTCGACTATATCTGCGAATATAATTAGAAGTTAATTGAGGGATGGTGACTAGCTGTGGAATCCACCCAGGCTGCACACTTCGTCTTATTCGGGACTCGTTCACCAGACAGATGTGCCTGCATTCCTCAGTGAGTGATGATGTTGTCACCAGCGAGGCTCGAACCCAGTTCCCATAGTTTCAATTATTAGAGCGTTATCCACTAAACCACTTGAACCCTGAGAGCCAGCCACCTCCTGTGCAAAGAAGGGCTCATATTAATTATTTAATTCAATTTTAGATTTTTCCGTCGGTTGATTGTTCCAAGGTCCACAAGAGGTGACTCTCGTGCTGAATTCAGGCACATCCAGAGATGAGTCCCGAACAGGACGAAAGGCGCATCCTGGTTGGATTCCACTGCTAGTCACCATCTGCCAATTAACTTCTAACTTTAATTTGGTTCCCGAAGGAAACTCATCATTTCTGTTACCCATGATGACTTGATTAACAAATAAATCTCTCAGGCGTCAGCTGGGGAAGCGGCAGACCGGCAATTTTTATAGCTACCGGTATTCGTCCCAATCAAAATATATATATCCATTCAAACATTTTAGTCTATGCATATCATGACCTGAGTCAAAACCATCAGGTCCATAGAATGAAACATTCAGAGGAGACTGTGGAAGACGTTTAACTTGAATCAACTAAACTGTACAACTTATCTAATTACTGACAGTATCTCATTACCTCACGGTGCAAGATTTTTTCTGTATTGATTTTGGAGTCTATATGTACAACAAAATATCTAGAAAGAAGTCAATCAAAATTAAATTGTTTGAATCATTGAGAGTAATTTTATCAAGACTATTTCGTTTTATTTATTCGGTTTCACAGTCATAGAACCTCATGATGTACTTATTTACTTCACATTTATAATTTCTTTTCCAGACAAGCACACGCGAAAACGATGTCACGATCAATTTCAATCTTATCAACACTATGCATTGTACTGCTGTGCGTAATGGTCAATTGTGCACATGTTCCATATGATTATATAAATGAACGAAACCTGTATCCTATGTCAGAATTTGACAGTGAAGCTTACTACTTACCGCCTGCTTATCGTGAAATTGCAGCTCAAAAATATTTTAAACGAAGATCTTATATGACACCAAGACTTGGCAAATAATCAATCACTACTGGATGTCAGTTTTTTTGTTTCAATAATCTTATAATTAACAATAAATGGGTGAAATATTTCCATTTATTATTTAAATGACTAGTAGTCATTTTTATAAAATCTGACGTTTGAGAGTTTATGTAATAAAAAAAAAAAAAATTTAACTAACAATAAATCAATAAATATTATCTTCAAGTGTTCTTTTGTGAGGATTTGTTTGGTTTTGAAATGTGATCACCGATTGAAATCCTTGTTAAAGAACCACTAAAATACTAGATATTACTGCAAAGCTCCTTCAGTCTAGCTTGAGGCCATTCAGTAGTACTCATCAATGATTCTACTAGGGGATGCAGTCTAGGTATTTCATTTCTCAAAAACAGCTTGTCAATCATTCAGACACTGAGAGAAAGTCCAAGGAATTCTTAAACTATTTATTATTCCTTTATGTTCTCAGTGGAACATACTGCGTCTTCAAGCTAGAGGCTTGAAGTTTCGGTAGCAGTGATGATTATTTTTACAGGATAGGGTTGCTAGTCTGATGGCCAACCTCCTCTCTTTATCAGTTTTATTACTGGCTTAGCGAGGCAGGCAAAGGAGTGCGTCGGTCGGACCACGTGTGACGTGGTTGTCGAGCATTCTACGGATGTGCTATCGACGCACAAAAGCTTTCCAGTACTTTCTGGGTTTCAGTGGGTCACAAAAGCGTTGTAACTGTAAGTATCATACTGATAGCTGGTTCTCCATTCGGATAATGTTCTGATTAGCGTTGAATAATTCATTCTATTACGAGTATCCGATTCGCCGATTCAGGGTGTTTAGAGTTATTCCGAAAGTAAGTTTGAAGCGAATACAAGAATCATTATAACAGTACAAAACTCTAGTTTATATTGAGTGCCTTAAAGGATTATAAAGGAAAACTTGGCATATGCCTCAGGTATATGGGTGACATATTCGGAGCATTCAGAGATAAATTTGAATTTATTTATTTTATTTTTGATTGCAGCTTGATTCCACACCGTATTTTTGGTACAGGTATGGAATTTTCAGCATGGATATCGGTAGCCCAAATTTTGCAGGCCGACCATAGATATCAGGTGTGCGTCGGCCAGGGCTCGAACCTCGGACCATGTATATGGTCGGCGAGAGTCCTAACCACTGTGCTACCGACGAAGCCGAAACAACGTTAAAAGAATTTAATTCATGCTATGGGTTAGTATGAAATGTATGTCAGAACAATAAGGACAACGCTGCTATACATTTCTTGGATGTAAATCTGTTTAAGGAAGCTGATGAAACTGTTCAGAGGTCCGTTTGTAGAAAGCCATTTTGGACGGGACAATATTTACATTTCATTAGCTTCATCCTAGTGAAGTACTTTATTCAGTAGAGCAGACAAAATTGGTTATTCTGTGAGGTTTGTAACTAAGTGTTCAAAAGTAAAAGTAATATCAGAGACTTTTGAAATTAGTAGTGTTTTCTGAGCTGGTTGATGGTTTAGTTGTGGAACTTTCGTCATCTTTCTGGACAACATCTTCCTTCAGCAAAAGTTTTAGCATATTGTAAACTGATTTAAATTCTACATGAATGACAGGATTGTGTTTCCTGGCGGCAGCCATCTTTACATCTGTATTGGTCATTTTGTATTGACTTGGATTTTGAACTTTCTCGTCACATGATAATATTTTTATTAGTTGGTAGGTTTGGTTCATATAGACATGTTTGTTATTACCATATTCGCTTGAGTACCAACCAGGCTTCTAGGAATTCTCTAGCACTTTCAGTGTATCCTCTGTCTAACATTTCTACATCACCCCAATCAAAGTGGTGTCCATAATTATCTACATGGATTGATATGAAAGAACATATAAAACGTCTTTTCACAGCTGATTTGTGTTCCTGAATTATGATTCAAAGGAGACACCCACTTTGACTGTTGTAATGTTTATAATAGTTGATACAGTTTATTTTGTAAGTGGTATTAATTGTATCTTCTTTTTATGTTGGATCTTTTGGCTTGCACAGTATCGAATTAAGGGATTTGACTGGCTTTTGTGCTATATCTATTTCAAACGGTTTCAATATTCTACCTGTTATTTCAGAGATATGTTTTATATATGGTAGGATGATGGTTTCTTGTTGATGTTATGACTCGTTTTAAAACACTTTTTGGTGAAATCGTGAGGTATTTTCCTCCATTCTCTTAAACGCTGGAGTGCTATAGTGTGTTTGAACTCTTTTAAACAATGTCTGCGCACAATATGTTTTGTGAGTGATTGGATTATTGGTAGTATAGTTGATTACTTGGCTTGTGTGAGCTGATTTTGTATATAATTTTTTATTTATTTTATTTTTTTATTTTTGATTACAGCTTGACTCCACACTGTATTTTTTTGGTACAAGTATGGAATTTTCAGCACCGGTTATCGGTAGCCCAAATTTTGCAGGCTGACGATAGATATCAGGTGTGCGTCGGTGGAAGGGGATCGAACCTCGGACCATGTATATGGTCGGCGAGAGTCCTAACCACTGTACCACCGACGCACTGTGTTAGTTCTCTTGATTAAGACATCTAAAAATCGGATTTCGTTATATTATTCTTCTTCTCTCGTGGTGAATTCAATGTCTTCAAATATGTTGTTTATTAATTAATGGGTATATTCTAAATCATTTCTTTCAATTATTACAATTGTATTACTGACGTAACTTACCCAGACTTTCAGTTTAATCTTTGCATGACGCATTCAGTCAATAATCCTGATACGGGCGATCCCATTGGTGTTTTTTCTTTTGTCTGTTCGTATATTTGAGCATTGAATTGGAAGTATGCTGTAAGATATCATTCTATGAGTTCTATTCAAGTTGACATTGTATTTCTATGTTTTTATCACTATAGAGTGTAATTGTTGCACAGTTTCTCGTGCTAGTTTTGGACTAATTGAAGTAAATAATGCTGTGACATCATCAAACGACACCATCATCATTTCATTGTCATCCACCTGAATGTTTTTGATTTCCTCTAAAAATCGGATTGGTGAATTCAAACCAACTAACTCAGAGAACACAACTAATTGTAAATCATTCACCTGAGATACAAATCCCCTCTGTTGTTTCAAAATTTCAGAGATTGTTCCTAAAAGTTAGTTTCACTGGAGATAATGTCACTCAAATGGTGAAGCGTCGCTGGAGAATCTATTATGCAGCTGACATTTTGCTCATAAACATAACAAAGAAAGGGATAGTGTAAGCAACACAGGTAAAGATAAGGAGATCATCGACACATCAAAATGTGTACACTATCTTATATATGTAATTACAGAGGAAAATAAACTGGATGTTCGGAAAGATGTCTTTCGGTCCATGTTGTCTAACCCTTCTCCTAAAAATTGCTTTTTTCATTACTCATGATGGCATCCAAGGCAGCTCAATCACATACGACATTTATTAGAATATGTGATCATAAGATGACATCGCGTAAAAGCTCTATAGTGGTTATCAAAAAGCGTGAGGTAATAAAACATCTCTTAGTTTTTTTCGAAGGCTGTTCAATCAGAACAAAGAAGCCAGATCAATTTTTGCACTTAAGGAGACATTGGTTAACTTAAATCTACTAAGATGGCATACTTTCATTTTATCTTTACAATTCCCCCCCCCCTTTCCCCTTATACATAATGTTTCTTCCAGTAGTATCATGATCAGTTTTATCAGGATATATAGGGATCGAAAAATCATATTATTATTTATTATTCTTACTGCCTTCCGAGTGGAATATAGGGCTTCAATAACACATCTCTACATCGTAGTGCCTACTGACGTCCTTTTCAGCTGCCTTCACGATTGAGCAAATTCTCTCATCTCTTCTTCACCAAACGATCTCCTCCATGTCACTCTTGCACTGACATCCACTCTTCACTTCCCACTGGGATTCCAATCGAGCGACAGCCTCGCGAGCAATGTCATTCCTCAATGTATGGCCGATCCATCTCCACTTTCTCCTACACATTGGTTGAGATAAAGGCTACTGCCTGTTGATTGGTCCAACTGCATACTATCTTGTTGCTTATTCTTTCTGGCCGAACATTTGATCTTCAGTATGCAGTCAGTCAGCGTAGTGGGCAGCTGTTGATAAAAGTCTTCAACCTATGTGAAATCCTTTACGTGACGCATAGAGCATGTTTCTGACCCGCATAGAAGAACCGACTTCACATTGGTGTTGAAAATGCGAATCTTGTTCATGATGCTGAGCGTGGAAGATCTCCAAACTGGTTTCATGTTGATGAAGACCTGTGTATCTCGCCTTCCCGACTCAGGCTGACTCTGACATCTTCGTTCGTTCCACTGGCCTGTAATTGATACTCTGCTTCCTGGTCATATAAGTGAAGGAGGTAACCTCTGTTTAATCTCTCCTTTTGATGGTGATTGGTACTGGTTGTTGTTGATTGGTTATCTTCGTCACCTCCTTATTCTCTGTGTTCACCTGTAGTCCTGTTTTCACTGCCAGCCTCTTCAGACATTTTGTTAGTTTTCGTTTGGCCAAAACATCATAGTTGATTCCTAATCTTGCTTAGCAGTGTTTAAACTATCTTATGAGTTTAGGTTCAATATGCTCCACATATGTTAAGTCTATTTGTTTTGACAAAGGTGCGATTTGTCACAATGTCCACGTGCTTCTGTCCACATATAAATAACATTGTTCGTAGAGGAGTATCCAGATGATGAGGCCTCCTGTCGAAGCCGGTGAATACATTGAATACTACTACTACTACTACTTCATAGTTGTTCCATGTTTTCAACACTGGCTTGTTTATGAATGCCGTTGGCAGCTTCTTACTTACTGTCAACATTAACTGAGAACAAAACTTTATAAGTAATC